GTCTCCACATGGGATCCGAACCCTCAGCGGGAGCACTGCCACACTCCCAGGCGGCACACTCTCCAGTGCGCCACCGGGCCGGCCCTATTGCTTACAGTTTCTGAGGCTGGGAAGTCCAAAGTCCATCTGGGGGAAGCGACAGTGACCCAGGGGTCTCACATTGCAAGATGGTGGAAGCAGAGAGAGCAGAGAGCGACAGTCTCCTCCCTCTTCTTTTAAAGCCCTCAGAACCGTGCCCCTGATCACCATTTTTAATCCATTCACCGCTTCTTGGCCCTATTATCTAATCACCTCTTCAAGGCTCCACATTGCAATTACCATAATAGGATTTCCCACCCTCTTAACAGTCACAGTGGGGGCTGAGTTTCTAATACATAAAACTTGGGGGACACAATTCAATTTTCAGGGAGTTTTGGGGGGACATAATTCTATCCACTATGTTTTCTTACCAAGTTTTTTTATCAAGTTGAAGTTTATGTAATTAAGTCAGTCTTCCCTCACTGTCATTCTCTTGTACCCATAAATTTCATATCCCCTTTATACTTTTTTCTACAAAGAACTGAGTAAATTGATTTCTTTGTTGCCCTGTTTTTGGGGTCAGGAGGATTGAATGGACATAGATATTGCCAGATTTTCTTTCACTTGGTAAAAGAATAAGGTTTCTCAGGTCTGTGATCATTTGCTAAATAGTATCGTGGATAGTTATACCTAAAGTATTATCTGAGAATTCACATTCAATATGTACTCAAAACAGCTAGCAGGTAAAGGCACCAAGGTCAACTATTTGTACTGTGCTTTATGCTTTCTAATGTGGTTTTGCACCCATTAGTCACTGTTTAAACCAACATTTAAGAAAATATCTTGCATGTCAGGTACTAAGATAATAAAGATGAAATGAGAGCCTTGCTCTCCAGAAGTTTAGAGGGAAAGACAGAGAAGTAAATAGGCCATTATAATCGGTGCAATAAATGCTCCGAAAGAAGAAATGCAAGGTGCTATTGGAGTTCATAGAAATATTTTATTAGATAGGAGGAGGATGGGATTTAAGGAATCAGGGAATGAGTTAGGGAAGCTTTTTAAGAAGTTGTCAGAGAATGAATCCTAAAGGATAAGTGTCAGCTAGGCAAATTGCACTGGGAGCTGGGGAGGATATTCCAAGGAGACGCAATATCATTGCGTCTTTTTTTTTTTTTTTTCGTGTCTGGCAACGGATCGCAACCCTCAGTGTCGCGCCCGGACCGGGACCGGCAACGGGATCGCAACCCTCGGTGTTGCGCCCACACCTCACTCAGCCAGTGAGCGGGAACCGGTCTGTATGTGGGATCTGAACCCTCGGCGGGAGCACCACCGCGCTCCCAAGCGGCGCACTGTAGCAGTGCGCCACCGGGCCGGCCCTCATTGTGTCTTTTGAACTTCATAACTATGTACCCCTTTTTATTAGAAGGAATCAAAGGATTAGAGAGATTAATATTCTTGAGATCACAAAGCTGTTATAATGGGGGTAGTCACTACTAGAATTTCTAGGCTCAAATGCCATGCTTTCTATAAACATTAAATGCTGTGAATTATGGGAATAGGGAGACATGTGGTATATAATAATACTTGCCCTGAAAGACCTCAAAACTTGTAGGCCTGATTTTATTCCATTTTCATAAGCTGTGCCCAGAAAATAGCCAAACTTTTCCTATACCTCTCCCTTGAAAAAATTTTCAGTTTCTAAGCTAGCCAATAATAAACCTGGTATCCTTAGGAATCAAAAGATTATGCGTCTTGAACAGGCAAGCAGTTTAATAAATATTCCATGTCAGAGGCAAGCTATAAGATCATGGGGACAATTTCTGGATATTCCTGAGTAAGAACATTCCAGTTCTGGTCTAATATTTTCAGAAGGTCTCCTTCAACCCCCACACTTTTCCTACCAGTTTTATTTAGTTCCTTCTTACAGCAGAATCATAAAACATTTGGAAAAGCTCTCTTTTCCCCAAGCCCATAGGACTATGAGTGTTTTTTGTTTGTTTGTTTGGTCTCTGGTAAAATTATTGTCTGTGGTAGAAACGGAGCAACTTTTTATTAAAGATTTTCTATATATATAACAGGTTAGTCCTTAGCACTTTGCATGATTATTTCCCTTAATTTTCACAGTAATCTAGTCAAGTAAGTATACTATTATTTTAAGTCTATTTTACAGATGAGGAAGCAGAGGAACAGAAAGATTATATGACCTGTCTCACCTAAGTGGCCTACCTAGAGTGCAAACACAGGTTGTTTAACTACTACACTGTACTGCTATCCATACTTCACCTCTTAGTTTTTAAATTTTTGCCATCCTATCCTAATACCTTCCACTTTGACTGAGATTTGTTATGTCCTTGGAGTCATACTAAGACACTGTAATTATTGATAGAAGTCCTAGAGCAAACTACTTTTTTAGTGACTTTGTTTGCCCATAGGATATAAAGGAAGGTCTTTCTTAGGCTTACAGTATATACTAATCCTTTTACATATTTTGTGCTCCAGCTCATTTGGACCACCCAACTATTCTTAAATATACCTTGTGCTTTTCTATCTCCGAATATTTGTTCAGGTAGTTCTTTATTCTGAGATCTTCCCCACCTCTTTTCCATTGCCCTCATCTCTACTGAAATCAGAAATAAGCTGAATATACATTTTGGCTAGATGGTCAGACATTAAAATCATTGAAGCCAAAACTGAATATCACCATTATAGAGTAAGTTTCTGGGATATAAAAATAAATCTAAAATTTTATCCTCAAAACACTATCAAAGTTTGATATGGTGCCACATTTTCAGCTGCTAGGTTGTTTCTGTAGTCACTATACTTACTACCTATTTTGTTTTCAGTTATTGTTGATAGGGAAACACATTTATTCTGCTCTCTTATTTTCTGTAAAATATGTTTTCCTTCATACTCTATATTCTTTATCTCTGGATCAAAGGTGATTTTTTTTTTTTTGTCCTTTTTGAGACCGGCCGCACCGCGCTCAGCCAGTGAGCGCTGTGAGCGCACCAGCCATCCCTATATAGGATCCAAACCAAACGCGCGGCGGGAGCGCTGCTGCACTCTCAGCGCTGCACTCTCCCGAGTGCACCACGGGCTTGGCCCTCAAAGATGATTTATTAATGGGTGTTGGAGTTTTTCCTGATGCATGAAATTTTGAGCCGACAAAGTTGGTATTGTGCTTTTAACTCACTGTCTCATGCTAATACACCAGAACTTCAAAAAGATTAGAATTGTGTAACCTTGTATTAATTTAATCTTAATGAACACTTGCTGTCTTAAAAAGGGAATAATACTTTTCCTGAAGTTATCTAATGTGCTCTGTCAATCTATTTCTCTGTTAACTTAGCTTTTTTAAGGTTTTAATAATTTTTATTCATAAAATTAATAGCTTTTATGGCCGTTGATTATTGCAGCATTTATTATATCTAGGATGTTTATCTATATTTGAAACTGAGTGTTCATATATTAATGCAGATGGACCTACCTTAAACAATTAATGTTATATTGATTTGATATGATGGTAATTTATACAGCTTCATGATCTTTGATCATGCACAATTTCTGGCATACCAGAAATGATGGTACGGTAAGCATTCTGCTGATTTGGTTTGAATGTTAAGGCTAAAGCCTAACTTTGGTACATCTCTAAAATGCTACTAAACCTTATATAAACAAGACAATTACAGTTTTTCCCAATCATCCCTACTCCTATCCTATCAGGCTGTTGTCTAACAGATCAAAATTTTACAATTTGCTCCTTTCGTATACTTTTTCCCTAAACATACTACTTACAGTTCCAGCCTCATCTCTGTTCTATTCCTTCTCAATTTAATTCAGCAATATTTGTGAAGCAGTTAAACATCGTGTAAACTACTCAGGGTTTTTCTGCCATGTGAAATTTTAAAACTGCCTTTAAATCCCAACTCAGATGTCTCCTCCTAAAGACTTTTCCCAGCCTCCTGAGGAAGGCATTCTTACATCTTTATTCTCATATCATTTTGTACTTCCTTGGTTTGTAACACTCATAACATTGTGACAGTAAGGCATTATTTGAGTCTGTCTTGTCAGCCAAATTGTGAGCTCCTTGAATTAAAAAAATTATATCTTGTTCATTCCTGTGTCCCTAAAGAGCCTGAGATAGTGCCTCAAGTAAACAGGTACTTGGCCCAGTGGCGTTACATCACATGTGCAGTTAACTTATAGGACTTCTACACTACATGCCTAACTGAAAGAGACATAATTGAAATAATAAGGCAGTTTCACCTGCTGTTCAACTCAGTTGGTGTATGCCTAAAATTGGGCACAAGATAAGAGGTGTGAATTTGTTGTTCCTTCAGTCGGTATCTGTTCCCACATTGCTCTCAAAGTAAACGTCTCACCAGGCTTGCGTGTGTTTCTCCTGTTGAAGATATTTTTCATAACATCACATCTTAAATACAAGTCAGCCACTTTCACTGGTGCTCATTCCAATGATGGTGGAAAAGCTAGCTGTGTTGGACTTGAGAGGTGGTGTGGTGTGTTGATCTCCAGCATAGTGCTTTTCTAAGGAATTATCAAGAGTAATTTTGACTAGACTGACTTTCACTATATATCATGCACTGACTTTGGAACCTAACCTTTTATGAAAACTAGGAATATACAGTTTTACTAAATGAATGATTTTTCCTTTCTCTGAGTTTCTATAGTACTTTATGTTTATGACTCAAATGATATTTTTGCTGCTTATTTCATAGTTGTCTGTTCATGTCTTATTTCACCAGTTGGAAAGCAGGGATAATACCTCTTTGTATTTGGCTTACCGCCTTTCATATATTCATTTATAGAATGAATAGACATTTTAATATGCTTTCGTGGTGCTGATGTCTTAAGTGAGGAATAACCCAGAAGTCATATCCTCTAACTCGTCATCTAATGGTCATCTACCTTGATACCGTTTGCTAAATTTTCCCTCTCAATTATCGCGTTTCTTTTTCCCATAGCTCTTTCGACGTGTAGCAGCAGCTTTGCCTGGAATGGAAAGCACACAGGACAGAAGCAGAGAGGACAGTATCCTTTTTGTTTCTTCAGAAAAGTTTAATGTTGGGCCAGCCCGGCGGCGCACTCGGTAGAGTGCGGCGGCGCTCCCGCCGAGGGTTCGGATCCC